TGCATGCCTTGTTCGATGAATAGGGAATAGTTTAACTTGAACGTTCTTTATTGTGAACGCTAGCTGTGGAATTGTGTGCCTTGACTACCTACAACTAGGGTCAACTGTCCGAACAAGGAGGGGGGGGGGGTCGTATTCCAGCCGAACGAAAGGGGAGGGGGTCGTATCCACAGACGGGCTGCAAGACGGCTTGAAAAGTGCAGTGTCCGGGAGTGCACTTTCAGCCTCTAATGTTCTCCAGGAGCTCTGCACCGTGCAGCTGTCGGAGAGTCACACAGACAAGAGCTCCATGGGAGCATTAGAGCATGCAGAGCATTATAAGTCTCACTATCAGCCATTATTATCCTTAATACACGGACGGCGCTTTGCTCATAGATCAAGATTACAATAGCCAAAAACTTTGTTACAGCGTAGTGCAAAAACATGGTCTGTCTTCGATGATCGAACATTCCTGAAATCCCAAGGAGAACAAAGTGTAGAGCAGTTCATGGGGAAGTGAAACAAGAGTACCATATAACAGTACAATGCAACTCAATCACGATACTAACACCTTCTTCAGGAAAATGGAGGACTTTCAAATGCGAGTGCGACTTCTGCCCACAGACAGGTGCACGGCGTATACCCGAGCAGGCGTTTTCCCACAAAAACGCTCTGTCAGCGGCCGTAAGCAGACAAACTTCTGAAGAGAATTTTGATGCTTTCAAATCAAATCTAAGCGGAACAAAGTGTAGCGAATTTGCTGAATTGAGTTCTAGAAACCCCTAGGAAATTGAGGCAGAAGAAAGAATTTCAGGGAAATTTCACACTTGTTATGAAGTACTCTTCGCGTGATTCTAACAGTCTTTACCGCTTCTCATCACATTAATTTTGAAGGAAGTTATGGGCCTTTGAAGACTGCATAGTCGCGGTCCAGGAAAAGGCTTGAAAAAAATCAAGGGAAAAAACGGAACAACGGGACTATTTTTGAGCGAGTGATTCTTTAAAAAAGTTTCAGCACTTATTCGAAAGCTCTAATCTTCTAGTTTCTAATTAGCCTTAGACATCTGCAAAAAGTTGATTATGAAGAAAGTTATGAATGTTTGAATGTCGAAAACTCGCGTGTGCACAAAAAACGGAACAACGGGACGATTTTTTGAAATATTGAACATCCACAACATTTCAAATACTTTTTAGGAAGAAAACTATTTGATTTTTAAAATTTTGGTGTCCGGTTCCATGAGACCGCTTCTGAAGAAAAATATAACCTTCTGAATGGAGGGGTTTGGATTGCAACGTAATTGCTACAAGGTTTAGTTTTTCAGATTATAAAATAAGGAAATTGAGAGATCGAAAAAAACTTGGTAGGTTTCTGAAAGTAGAAATCTTTACGATTAAATGATGTATTGGTTTACGCAAAAATTTGGAAATTCCTTCTATTTAATGAATAAAACTTCATTTGCCTCGATTCCCTCCTCTGAGCGAGACAAAGCGCGCGGATTGACCACGGTCCACCACTTCTCCATGTTGGTGACTGCCCACACATCAATGATGAGCATTAAATTATGTAAAAGACATGATAAAAATTTTTGAATTTGCGCAATGCTGGGTTTACCCTGCTGACAACTATTCGTTCTTAGTTCGGTGATTCCTCGGAGTGGTAGCATTTCGTCAACGGTGGTAAATTTTCCTCCCCTTTACATTCTGTGGCAGCTTCACTTTCATTCTTCATCACTTGGCTAATATACTTTGCGTTCAAATTTGGAAAACTACGATGTCAATTCGATGCATTCGTTGACACCAAAGCTTCTTCTTCGTTAGAATCGAGAAAATATGGCATGGAGCGTTTCGCGGCAACTTCTCGAATCTTCCTGAGCGCTAGATATAATAGATGCCGGCTTCGTCTGTCAACTATCCTCTAATTTAGCGACCGTCGTACTGCTTCCTCAAGACATTCACCACGCTTCACCTCTTCCCAATCAGTGGAGTGGTATAATTGAAAGTTTTGAAAAGTAAACTTCCTTGGTCGGCTGATCGGAAGGTGTTAACTTTCTGAATCCGACTGGTAAATTGCGTTCCAAGTAGGCTGTGTCAGCGCTCTCGTTTCTGCCAGCCTGGTAAGTAATGCTAGCGATGAAAAGCTTGTTGGTCACACTCTTCTTCCCCAGAACCGACAAGCTACTTTCAACACGCTTTGCTGATATCTGGCGTAGTATTTTATCCACGCGACATCTATCAAGTGCGGTGGCTGCCACGTCATTTCCGGTGACACGCCCAATCAGACTTCGAGATGTGGACTGTACGTGTGCGGCTTAATCACCGCACTTTCCGAATACTTCTGCCGGACGAATATGAATAAAGTCAGTCTTGCAATACCAGTTTAGCTCCGCACGCAACCGCGCGCATCACATGGTAGGCTTTAGTGAAACTGGACAACTTGCAGAATATTAGGTCACGTGGCTGAGAAACTAACAGTAAGATGTTTTGGAAGATGTGTCACATGAATTTAAAGGTTGTCCAATTTTGCTGAAGATTGTCGCGTAATGCGCGCAGTAGCATGCGGAATGAAAATGGTACTTATCATGACTTCGTAAACATTTAGCATTGATATCGAGCTCGGGCGATTTAGCGGTTTATAGAATTTCCACATTTCTGTCACCCACATTCGCCATATCTCCGTCCCATCTTATAGCGTGTAGGAGCTAATATTTACTGTCACCACGAAGGCTACAACGAAATCAGCGGTACTCAAAATCCTAACTTCCTTATCAACCGTTATCGGTTGTTATCACTTTTGATCACCCACTATCCGTGTTCCCGTCCCATCCCCTATACCACATGTGAGAGCCAAGGTTCCAATGTCACCGCGAAGGCCGCAACGAAACTGGTGGTATCCACACTTTGACGCCCCTTATCAGTTCTTATCAGTTGCTACCACATTCTTTCAATCACCCTTTTGGTCCCTGCCTCACCCCACATAATATTCATGAGTGCGAACATCTTAGGGTCAACGCAAAGGGCGTTGCGAAACTGACGACGTTAGCATTCCGATGCCCCTTATCAGCCCTTATCATTTGCTATCACTTTCCTTCGCTCACCATTTGGGTCCCAGTCCTACCCTACACAATATTCATGAGTGCTAGCAATCCACTGCCAACGCGAACGGCGTAAGGAAGTTGGTGACATCGGCATTCTGACGCCCGTTATCAGCTTCTATCAGTACTTATCACTTCCCGCCACCCATCATCAGTGTTCACGCCCGACCCCCTATATACCTAGAAGTTTGAGCGCTCTGGGTCAAAGGGGGTGAAGTTATGAATTTCCGGTCAGACACACACACAACCGCTTAGCCGATTATATATAGTAGGATTCCTCCATCAAATACAAATATTTCGGAACTCACA